TTTAGAGACCGTGGTCCCTAGGGCATCAGGGCTGAACCTTCAGTAAACTGACCCGGAACTCCTTCCTTTATGACGGCGTGTCACCCGTGACGTGTAACCCGGAGATGTGTCCGCCTCATGCGGGCTGTGCCTCTCCCCCCGCCTGCAGCTGCCTCTCTGGGATAGGAGTGGGGCACTTCAGGGGGAACGGAGCAGGTCCCGATTCACTGAGGTGGTGTGTGCTGTGCACTTTAACAGTGAGGTCTGCATGCAGGCGATGGATCCGTTCACTCATGTGTGTCAAGCCCATGTGTCCCCTTCCATTTCCCTCCAGGAAGCCGCCTGCTTGGGCTTCCTGGGAAAAGGGTACAATTTCAACGCAAGTGAGAGCCATGCCCAGAGGGTCTCCCTTCCCTTTTTGCTGGAAAGTAAAGCCGGAACAATTGGCTGAAATTAGAGGACAGGAAGAGGAAACAACTCAAGTGCCCATCCACTGATAAATGGATAAACAAAGTGTAATCTACACATAAATGGAATATTATTCAACTGTAAAAACAAAGAGATCCTGACATGCACTGCAACAATGAACCTTGAAGACATGATGCTAAGTACAATGAGCTATATACAAAAGGCAGACACTCAATGACCCCACTTGCATGAGACATTGAGAGCAGATTGTCCGAGACAGAAAATAGTGGTGTTCACTGTCCATGGTTGGGGAGAGACAGAAACGAGGTTATTGCTGAATGGGTACAAGTTTCAGTTTAGGAAGATAAGCGAGTTCTGGAGGCAGGTGGTGGTGATGGTAGCACAGCAATGTGAATGCTCTAATGCCACTGAACTGTACACCTAAAAACGGTTCAAACAGCAAATGGGGGAAATGGAAGAAAAGAGCAAGGCTATTGAATTCCCTTTGCCAACTGACACACTGGTTACTTGCTGTGTTCAAAATAAGTCAATATAGTTCTGGTCTACAGTCATATTCCAAGGTAAAGATGAGTGTTCTCACAGATGATAGGAAACAGCTTTTAGACAATTCTCTTCCAAGTCTCCCTTCCCCACTAGAACTGCTCTAAAGAAGATGAAACTCTAGTTAGGCAGGGACTCTCATCTTTATTAATAAAGCCCATAAGTGAGATGGGGCAAAGGCATACCTCTGCACTTCTGTCAAATCACCCACTGGGATTGGCCCCCGGACTGTCACTTGGCTTTGGTATTTCCATACCTACTTTTCCCTAGATCTTAGGATTTCTTCATGCTGGCTGTCTTTTAACTTGCCATGACCTACACTGAGCTCTGTGGGATCCCAGTTGGGAGAGATGACTCAGGCACCTTCTCGTGAAAGAGCTGGCTGGTACACTCTCTGAGGCAGGCCAACCCAGAAAAGGGCAAAGCCTGGGGAGAAAGTGTGAAGGCAAAGTCCCTGGGTGAGGAGGTGGAGGACATGGCTGCCTGCTGAGTACGTACATGAACAAGTCTGTGATCTACCTGGACACCTTCTGAAGTCCACTAAAGACTGATCTGCTAGTTAATCGGACAGCAACGCTGATTTCCTGGCTGAGGACTCCCTGCTCAAATTGTACACAACATGTCCCATTTCTACCCAGTGATCCTTCAACTAGATACCGGGTAGAAGAGAACTGAACAGGCAAGGTATCAGGATAAGAATAACCTCAGAGGCCGGCGCCGTGGCTCAATAGGCTAATCCTCCACCTTGCGGCGCCGGCACACCGGGTTCTAGTCCCGGTCGGGGCGCCGGATTCTGTCCCGGTTGCCCCTCTTCCAGGCCAGCTCTCTGCTATGGCCAGGGAGTGCAGTGGAGGATGGCCCAGGTGCTTGGGCCCTGCACCCCATGGGAGACCAGGAAAAGCACCTGGATCCTGGCTCCTGCCATCGGATCAGCGCGGTGCGCCGGCTGCAGCGGCGGCCATTGGAGGGTGAACCAACGGCAAAGGAAGACCTTTCTCTCTGTCTTTCTCTCTCACTGTCCACTCTGCCTGTCAAAAAAAAAAAAAAAAAAAAAAAGAATAACCTCAGAACTCTGAGATGTTCTCTTAAAAGTCTAGGGTCTACATTACATGTCTGTTAAGTAATAAATTCAGCAATGCATACCCTCCACATAACGTAGCAGTGTAAGCTATGGTGGTAGAAGTCTGAAGGTGATAGGGTTAGGGGAGGGAAAGACTGATTGGAAAGAAGCATAAAGGAACTTTTGTAGATCTTGTTTGAGGTAGACGTTAAATGAGTGTACACAATACTCAGAGCTTACTAATCTGGATACTTAAGACCAGTACATTGTGTTAGATTCAAATTATACATCGATTTTAAAAAAAAGCAACAGAGGCCCTTTCCAGGGAAAGCATGGCTGTGGAGGACAGGGCAGGGTGCTGGCCTTCACCTTACCTCCCGTTCTCTACCATCTCCCATCCGCTGGGATCCCAGAGGCACCCCAGGACAGCCTCTGACAGTGAAGGAGGGCTGCATAGCAGAGCCCAGTGCCTTCCTTCCCAGAATGTTGGCCATTTGTGAGGCCTGGGACTTCTGGGTTTGTTTGTGGGCTGGGTTCCAGTTTCCCACCCTTCTTGTAGGGTTTCTATCATGGTTGGAGCCCAACCATCTCCTGCTCCTGCTCTTTAGGCACCTTCCCTATGTTCTGATCCACAGAGGACTCGATGAAGGGTCACAGGAGAGAAAAGTTAGCCAGCATCCCAAACCATGATATCTACGGCAGTGTGTGATGGGAAAAGTGTCTTCCTCTGCGATTTCTGGGGCAAGGTCAGTGTCGCTATCCAGAGCATGGCATCAGTTCAGCGTGGAGGTCACCAACCTCTTGGCCTTCACTCTGCTCCTGGACCCATCTTCTTGGCTGAGAGCTAAAGGTCAACAGCACCTTGGGGCTCTAGCCTGATTCTCGTTCTTCACTAGGCGGAAGCCCCTGCCCCACATGGAGTTATCTGAAAGGCTTGGTTGCAAAGCTGTTCACCGAGGAGCAATCCATCCCTGCTCTTCCGCAATGAGCACTTCTGCACGTTAGTGGATCAGGAGTCTTATTTCTGCTTTTGCTGCCCTGAGGCCTAGCAGTCTCTCTATGCCTCTCCATTTATAAAATGGGCTCAATAATGTCATTAAGTGCTTCTTTCAGAGAAAACTTAGGGGCACTAATGAAATAATGACCACTATTATGAATATATATAATGAGTACCGCATATTCAGTAATACACAGTAGCGCTGGACAGCGCCTATTGCAAGGGCATGATTTTTTAAACAAAAAACACTGAGAGATAGATATATCATGCAGCAATCCATCTACTCCCTCATTCAGACTGGGGAATTTGAAGGACAGGAGCAGTTGAAATATGAATGAGTCAGTGTTGGTTTCTGGTGCTCTGCATTTGTCTGTTTCAATCATTTTCCCTACCGTGATAACCTCTGACTTCACACTCTTGCTGACTGCCTTCTACTTCCTGCCATTCTAGGGAGATGCTAAGATTTCTGGATCTGATGCCGAGCATTGTAAAAAGGAAAACTCTGTCTTTCACCAGAAGAATCTCCAGCCAGTGATAGCATATTTCCTTCATCTTGGAGGAGGGGTCCAGGGTGTGGAATTCAAAGCAAGACCAAAAAAAAAAAAAAAAACACCCCACTAGGGATGGTTCAGGGTTGCAAAGAGTGAACCCCCAGCCTGTGTTTCCCTGCCTGGACACACCTGAAGATAGCAGCCAGACCCATAAAAAGTTAGGAGCAAAATCAAGGCAGGGCTTGCTCTTATAAGAGGCCACATCTTTTCAAAAACCCCTAAGGGGCTAGGGATGCTGGAGAAAACCCAGAGAGACTCAGGCAACAGAAGAAAATCCCCGACATCACTTGTTGAACGGACCCACTCAAGTAGCTCTGGGCAGGTCTGGAAGGGGCAGGCCAATAGTGTCTCCACAGGAAAGCCAAGGCAGATGCAGAGAATTGATACAGTGTACTTCAGGGAGTCAGGGAGGAGGAAAAAGAAGTACCTTGCAAAAAGTAGTAGCAATGATGTAGTAACAGTGATGAGCTCCTGTTGGTGGAGCCCCTCGGTACTGGAGGACATAGCACCACTTCTAGCCTTTCTGAGCCAGGAGCCAGTCTACGTCCAGTTTTGGCTCCCTTGCTATGTGGAGACAAACCTTTCTATGAGCTGTTTTTCAGTGCCAGGTGCCCCAGAAAGCAGAACAGGACAGACTTTGTCCTCTTTCCAACCATACACAGCCAAGGATGACAGAAAGTGGAGGAGACCGCCTGCCGCCTTGCCAATGTAGAATAGCCCATATTGGCCAATCTCTGCACAGTTCAAGATGCTGCTATTTTCCTCCCATCATGAAGTCAGAGAGACTTCAGCGCCTCATGCTGCCCCAGCCCAAGGCTCACCTGTTGTACCTGCTCACTTGCCAGGGGTTCACACCAGGAAAGAAAGTAAAAGGTCAAGTTGGGCTCTCTCCACAGCAAGAACCCAGAGAATCCTGGGGAAATTGACATTTAATAGAACCACCTCCTCTGAGCTCTTCCAGAGAAGCATAACTTTTAACTCTTCCGCCACTTCCAGCCCCTCTCCCCCAGGCAGACTTCCTTTGCAACACTTTCCCACCACAGAGGGCTCGTCGGGAAAGAGTTAAAGAAGGTGCAGGACTAAATCCCCCCATCCTCTCTCTTATCTACATACAAAAAGAACAGCTGCACACACAGCGACAAGCAGAAGCCACCAGCAATTTAGCTCCGACCTCACCTGTCTTATGCAACAGCACACACAGACACACACGCACCCGGCAAGGCCCGCGTCCACATCATCCCCCTTCAATTCAGCAGACACAGTTTTGTGTGTTGCTTTTCCCTACGCAGAAGCCGGCTCCCCCGGCAGCACAGAGAGAGAGATGTAACCTTAGCGCCAGACGCCTGGCAGGAAACACACACAGACCAGAACGCATCTCATAGCTCTCCTTGGTGCTGAAATCACGCTGGGGAGGAAAGCGGAGGAGCGAGTGCTCTGGACTTACCGGGGCTGGGGGTGGGCGGCCGGGGAGCGAGAGGAGCTTCCTGGGAAGAGGATTCTTGTCTGCTGGGGCTGGAAGCAGCTGATGCGCTCACCTAGAGAGCCCACCTCTCTCCCTTCTCTTCTCCTCTCCTTCCTCTTCTGAGAGGAAGAGAGGAGGCTTCACGGGAGAAACGAAACCCAAGCTAGCAGGGCTACGAGTGCAAGGAGACAGCAGAGGCAAACGAAGAGATCAAAAAGTCAGGTGGCTTTGCTCCACTCGTGGCAATTCCCTGGGTCAGGAAGCACCCCCTCTCCTCTCACTCTCGCGCCGTCTGCCCCTGTCTCCGTCTCTGCATGTTGAGCCAACAGCCTTAGCACAGTCGGTTCCTGCCTCTGACGTGAACGAGAGGAGGAAGCCTGGGACTGCTCTGCTGTCTCTCTCTCTCTCTCTCTCCTCTCACGCGCTCTCTCTTTTCCCCTCTTGCTGAAATTTCAGCAGCATGGTATGTTTTTAAGGCTCTGCCTTTTCCATCCCCCTCTGGCAGCCCTCTAGTGGACAGAAAAGGAAAGCAATCCCGATTCCTCTTGAACAGTCCAGATTCCGGCAGCGGAATACTCCCGGCACCCAGGAACTCTTTGTGAGCTGCACCTGCACAGCCAGTCTTGAAGAGAACAGAATCTGCCCCTTGGCCAGCTTACACAGGCAGTGAGGGAGAGGCGCTTCTGTAGATCTTTTGCCCACGATTGCAGAAGTAATGGGTGCCATAGGCTGGGGGAGTGGCTAGACACAGATGCTTTACAAGATCTTGGAGATCTCAAATGTTTTATGGCCCTGGCTCAGCAGAAGAAAGGCCTGCACCAGGTGACTCAGGTGTATATCCAATACACCCCAGGCTTAAAGACACAGGGCGAGTAGAAAGCCAAAGGGACAGTTTCTGGCTGGCAACCCGTTCACCCCATTATATGGCTTTTTCGAGAGTTGGTATGAAAAATACCCAGGAAGACATAGCCAGAGCTCATCTCAGAGTCAGAGACAGCCGTGACCTTGTTGAGCATCCGTGGCGAAACTTGGCCAAGAGGCGGCCTCCAGGGGTCACTGCTGACAGCCTCACAAGGGCTCTCTAGCTGCTTCCAGTGAACGGTCTCCTGGAAGAGCACCCCTCCTCATATCTACAAACTTAGGTCTTAGTTCCGGATTGCCACTTGCTTCTCCATGGCTCAGTTCCACCATTTGTAAAATGTGGGTAATGCTGCCCCCTCCCTACTGAAGAGAGATGCTGAGGGAATGGAATGACACAGAAAAACAGAACCCTGGCAAGGCACTTAGGTAATCTCAGCCAAGCATTTTTCTGGTGTTTGCTCAACCCTTGCAAATAATAGCTAACACGTACAGAGTACCTACACTGGGTGCTAGGTACTGTTAGGGGTCTTTGTATGTGTTAGGTCATTTAATCCATATAGTAATGCTAACATTCAGATGTTATTATTGCCATTTCATAGACTAGGAAACTGAGGCACAGAGGAATGAAATAACCAAAGATCACACCATTAAGAATAGCAGGGGTAGGGTTGGTACAGAGGTCATCCCACCCCGGACCTCCTCTATTCATCACCATAGGCAGCAACAACATCTGAAACAAATACAAAACAGCACCATAATTATCATTGTCTTTATTTATAATAAAGTTCCTAGATCATTAAAATTAATTTTTATGTGGCTTAGTTTTTAAAATATTTACAGTAAATAAAAATAAGATATTTACAACTTTAGCTATAGACATTGCTATTACCAACACAAATCCCCTAAGCAAACTAGTTCTCGGTGATTTGGGTAGTTTCCCAAATATTCAAAACTAGTTACATATCTCATGAAATTGGAAGATATCAGGTTTTCTCAATAGTTAACTGAACACATCACTCAATTTCCTGCCGAAGTCAGTTTGTTATCTGGTTCCTAACACAGTGCTAGGATGGAGCCAGCAGCTTCACGAACACTCAGCGACAAGCACTCAGTGAGAGACTGACACCATATTCAGAGTTGTGGCGTTTCTACTCTGATCTGGCTTACTCTTTCTTTCTTGGGAGCTATGGTAAATGGGACAGGGCAAAGACAGGCCATGATGGTTAACAAATCACGGTCCCAAAGGAGGAGAGGCAGGGCAAGACACAGATCATTATGGTCCAGGGCCCAAGCGCCCAGACATGAACAGATGCAATGTATTAAGTGAGGGCACGGAAGAGACAATTAACTCTGTCTCTGAGGGCCAGTGAACTTCCTTAGGAGCAGAACATCCAAGCCGAGGCTTGAAAAGGGAGATGTTATTACAGTCTCGGGTGGGTGAGGGCGCTAAGCTGAATGCCCGGCAGGTGCAAACTCCTGGAGCTGAGACAGAACAGTGCACCTTTCAAGGCAGCTCAGGGAGTTCAGTGGTTTGCCCAAGGCACACATCTGGCACCTGTAGATCCCGAGTCAAATGCATATTTCAGACTCTAAAGTCAGCCTGTCTGTGAAGCACCACAGCGTTTCTCATCGCTGAGAAGGGCACACGCTAGATGTGTGCTAGATGGATGTGTAACCAGTTCCTATTAGAGAAGAAGGCCACAAGAAGGCACTAGTCAGTACAAAACAGGAGGAATTTATGGTAGCAGAACTGTTTCTGGTGGGTGTGAAAGCACTAAACATAGGGAAAGTGGGAATATTTCAGAAGTACAAAGTCACTAGAGATTTGCATTTGAAAGGAGGGACGAATGTAGGAAGGGCTAAAAGGGAATATCAGGTCGGGTTCTATGCAAGCCCAGGGGAGGGAGCGGGAGGGTCCTTCTACCCAGAAGGGATTAGGGGAGACTTTACAAGGGCGGTGGGCATTCATCCAGCCCTAAAGGCAGGTGGGTCCAGGAGATGGTGCTCCATCATATGCAGACATATGATGTGTGGAAAACATGAGATCTGAGCCATCTCGAAGACTAATTGGACAGTGATTAAAGGGAGAGTAGAAGACTGTTACAGGCAGAAAAAAGGTATGGCTCTTCATACTTTGGAAGAAGGACACGTTTGGGAGAGGTGGGTGGGAAATGAGATTGATGGTTGAATCTGGTTGTGAACATGCTAAGTTTTAGAAAGGAGCAAATATATACCACAGAGACGTACAGAGAGTGGTTGCGCTACATCTCTGCAACTCTGCAGAGGGATCTGGAGTTCATGATATAGGAGTTGGCAGCCCATGTACGTGAACGTGGTGATAGTTGCTGGGTGGAGGTCAATGGTAGAGAAAACTAGGGAGACTGAGGACAGCATTCCGACTTGACTTCCTTCATCCCTGCCTCAAGTTTTTTCTTTCCTTTTCATCCTATGACCAAAGTGCTTGGTGCCCAGGAGCTATATACAAAATACTTATTCATTGGCTCACAATACAACCCAAAAATATTGGTTGGAGGTGATATTGGGACTAAGATTAATTGTTAGCTCACTGGCTTCTGACTCACTCTTAGCTTCAAGGCCCCTTGGTCATAGTTTCCCTGTAGAAACTGACAATCACTGGCCCCTGCAGCTTTGGTTTTGACTTCACACTTCAGTCCCCAAACTTTCTCCACATTAACTGCCCATCCATGCAGCCAGACACTCAGCTGTTTCCAGAGAATCAGCAGTTACAGTGTGATCAACCACCATGCTGTGATGTTCCAAGGAAAGTCTGAACTACGATACGGGCATTCCAGAAGACCCTAGGATCCAGCCTTGCAGAACCTGAGGTTTGGACATAGGGGCTCAGAAGGTGCAGCTTGTAGCTTTTACAGAGGAAAGGGAAGGAAACTCAGGACTCTGGTTTGCAATGTGGCAAGTCCACCATAACCAAGGGGAGTCCTCAATTCCCAGGCTGACCACGCCCACATCGTACCACGGTTTCAAGGAGCACAGGAAGGAAGGAACTTTGCTGTGAATATCAGATGAGACATGCAATGGCCTTGGGCTTCTGGCCAAGAAAAAAGAGGAGAGGAGCTGCAGATGAAATCTAGGAAATGAATCACCACCAAAGCTCTTCTTTTCCGGGGACGTCTCTGAGAGCAAGACATCTGATTTCTCAACACCCACCCCTACCCCATTTCTAATTGTGCCTCCGCCCTTGGTCAAAGTAGTTGTCTACCTGGCCACAGTTACATAGGACTGTGAAGTATGGCTCTTTCCTCCTTGAAGGTCAGAAAAGGGAGTACCTTCAGGAAGCATCTACCAGTGCACCGTGGACTCTGTCCACTTCCACTCCAGGGATGAGCCCAGGAGACAGAGACTGTTAGGGAAACAGGGAAGGAGGGAAGAGGTGGGGGAAGAGAAAGAGAGGTTCTAAGTCAGTCTGCGGTTTCAAGGGAGGGAGCAGAGTGGATTGAATTAAGGTTCCTCCAAGTTGGAGATACTGTGTGGGAGTTAATCTCCTCTCTCATTTTCCTTACTCATGACAAAAGTGAGAGGCTGGGCTCCCTGTATATTTTTCCTTTCTTTGTCCTTTGGGATTTGTTTTATTTGTTTAATGGGCAGAGAAAGAGGGAGAGGAGAGAGAAAGATCTTCCATTTGCTGGTTCACTTCCCAAATGGCCCCAACAGCCAGGACAGCTCCAGCTAAAGCCAGGAGTCAGGAACTCCACCCGGGTCTTCCATGTGCATGGCAAAGTCCTGAGCACTTGGGCCATCTTCCACTGCTTTCCCAGGCACATTAGCAGGGAGCTGGATTGGAAGAACAGCCAGGACTCGAACTGGCACACGGATATGGGATGCCGGCATTACAGGCTTAACGACGCCAGCTCTTCCATTCAGTCTTCAAGGAAACTCTGCTACTCCATACTAGAGCTGCCTACTGTGTGCATTCAAGGGACATTAGTTGCTGCATTCTGCACCCAGAGAGCTGAGGAGTGTGAGGCCCAGTGACCCAAGAAATAAGTGAGTCCTCCAAAGTAGTGAAGCGTCTTAGCCTTGTCAGAGTCCCAGTCCTGGAGGAGGGAAGACAAGACTGTTTTACAGTGTCCCAGAGACTCCTCTGGAGCCCTGCACCCACTCCCAGGCCACAGCCCCTGACTGTGTGTGCACTAGAGAGCGTCTACAATGGCAGAGAGCTCATGTCTTCCTGGCACCTACCATGCAACTCACCAGGACTCAGAGAATCAGATCCATCCTGGAGAAGTTGGATCCTTTAAAGTGAGGGCTTGGGCACTACCTTTTGCTTCCAGGGTCCGCGAAGAAAGAGAAAAGCAGAGAGGGCAAACTTCCAAGTCAGAGAGGTCCAGTCATGGGGACTTCCTAAAAATGGTTCTACTAAGGCAGGACAGCCTCTTGGTAGAGGATTGTGGGGGACAGTCAAGCATTGCTGAATGACTCATCCATTCCCTTCCAGCTGGTGGAAGGTAGGATGGTACTGGCCCAGGGCTAAGCAATGTACTCAGAAAGGACATTTCCTTTTCTGGGGAGTGGAGGGAGGAAGTCTTCAAGACCATGAAGACCATGAAGCTGAAGATGCTCACTCCCACAAGGAAGCCGAGGAGGCTGTGTCTCCCTGCAG